AATGCTAGTGGATACTTTTTTTTTTTTCCATCATCTGTGGTTTTCAATTATCTTAAGTTTTATGATCACACGTAATTTTTAAATTTGTGTTTATCTCCTCTACTTTAATTCTTCTTTTAAGTTGGCAAAAGCACCATTCCCAATCACAAATACACAGCAGTTCTACAGTTTTGTTTCTGAATGGCTGTTTAAAGACAATCCTAAATTATAACTTACTTTGACTTAGACTGTAAAGAATTCAAGAGTGAAGTTTAATTGGCTACTATTTTAAAAGCATGTGACCTTATAGATCATCTATAAAATGTGTTAAGTGTTAAATAATTTTTGATATTACACATAAACCACACTAAAATGCCTTTCAATAAGTAAAAGGAACCATTTTAAATACAGCGAATTATAATTAGGACTGGCATAATTAAGGCCAAAAATATAAATTGCTACCCATTTATCTTCAACCTTTGCCTTTAAGAGGCAAACGAACAAGAAACACTGGTGAATCTTGCTTGGTTCTGAGACTCTGAAGGAATTTCTCCCATATTTAAATATATTCACATAACCAGTTATATAAATCTAAATATAAAACCAATCTCCAGTAAGTTTTAAGATGGCACTCACCATCTGTGAAAAGTTTAACATTACTAACGAAGTCTAATCATATCTTTAGAAGGGGTAAACAGTGATAGCATTTACTAAATTGAAATTACTATTAAAATTCAAAAACTGAACGTATTCATTTAACCACAAGCCAGTCTCAGTTTTAAATCAGGACTGCCCAACAAAATATTCTGTCAGTCATTCATGATGTAAATTCTGGTGTCTGAGATCTAATAAAATACGGTGCACATAAAAAATTCATGAGACATTTGTTTTCTAATAAATAAGGCAGTGGCCAATTATTACTCATGAGTAGCTTTTTTGAGATAAGCTATCAGGTCTGCCCTTTCTCCCTTCTTCTTAATGCCGACAAAAATAATTTTTGTTCCAGGATGTACTTCTTGGGATTCTCCAAATACTCCAGCAGTGTATCCTCGCCCCAGGTGATGCCTCTGTTCTTACTGGCCTCAGTGTAAAAGAATCCAGCCGCCCGACCTGTCTTCCATCCAGAGACCACGGAGATGAGGCCCAGTCTTGTGCTTGCCTGCCTTTTCCAAGGTGTGTCCCTGGACACACTTCTCAACAAAAATCCTATTGCCTTTCTCAACATCACCCATATTTAATTCTCTTTTCTCGTCGCTAGCGCGACAAAGGTTACTGCTCAGAATCCGGATGTCCCACTCTGCTAGTGGATACTTTTTAGCCCTCATTTTGCTTGACATTTTAGCAGCTTTCCAGTGTTGATTACACCTTCACTGAAACACCCGGTGACAGTGTACTTGGGCTTGCCTTCTGTTTCCTAGTTAATCCACCTCTTCTTGTCTTTAAAAAAATGTTGGAATTCTTCAAAGATGGATCCTACCCGGTAAATGAGTTCAATTACTGCCTAAGGCTAAACAGCTCAGGTTTTAAAAACTAGCCTAGACTTCTCCAGCGCTCTAAATCAATATATTGAACTGCTTATATCATCTACCCTTGGTTATCTCACAGGTACCCCCAAATCAAAATGTACAAAAATCAAACTCATGATCTCTTCTCTGCTGACCCAAAATAAAACCCATGATTCTCCAGTGATTCCTACCTGAGTGAAAGGAGGCAGCAATTCAAGCTAGAAACCCCAGGAGATACCCTTCACCTAATGTTCTCCTTGCCATCCTTTAATCTTTCCTTCATTCCCCCACTTCCAATTCAGTCCCCACCCCCAACAAGTTTTCTCCTATCTTTCCCCCTTTCTCCATTTCTGCCACCATCTATCCTAATCCAAGCCACTGTAATCTCTTGCTTAAACAATGGTCTTAAGTGATTCTCTTCCTCCAAATGATCCTCCACACTGCTGTCAGAGTAGTATTTTATTATTATTATTTTTTGAGACAGAGTCTTGCTCTGTCGCCAGGCTGGAGTGCAGTGGCGTGATCTCGGCTCAGTGCAACAAATTCTGCCTCCCGGTTCAAGTGATTTCCCTTCCTCAGCCTCCTTAACATCTGGGACTACAGGCACGCACCACTATGCCTGGCTAATTTTTTTTATTTTAGTAGAGATGGAGTTTGACCAGGTTGGCCAGGATGGTCTCCATCTCTGGACCTCGTGATCCGCCACCTCGGCTTCCAAAGCATTGGGATTACATGCGTGAGCCATGGCACCCAGCTCAGAGTAGTATTTTCAGTATGCAAATCTGATCATGACATTCCCCAGCTTAATGTTTTCCTACAGTCAATAAAGTCCTGCCCTGCCCACCTTTATCTTCTTTCTTTCCTAGTCATTTCTTTTCTTTTCTTTTTTGAGACAGGGTCTTGATCTGTCATCCAGGCACAACTATGGCTAACCGCAGCCTGGATCTCCTGAGCTCAAGAGATCTTCCAGCCTAAGCCTCTGGAGTAGCTGGGACTACAAGCATGTGCCACCACAACTGGCTAATTATTTCAAAAAATTACAGTACAGATGAGGTGTTGCTATGTTGCCCAGGCTAGTCTCCAACTTCTGGGCTCAAGCAATCCTCCTTCCTTAGCCTCCCCAAATGCTGGGATTACAGGTGTGCACCACCGTGCCTTCCCTCCTAGCCATTTTGCTCAGTTTCACAGGCTTTCTCCGTCCCTCAAAGCCTTTACTGAGTTCAGCCTGCAGAGAATCCTTCTTCCCACTGAAACTTACCCCAATCTATTTCCCTCAGACCTCTTTCCAAAAGCTACTTCCTCAAAGAAACCTCTGTGACACTTGGAGAAAGGTTACTTGTTTTCACAGCATCCTGTACTTCTCTCTCATAACACTTATAACTATAACCAACCAAGTAATCATGTAACCAGCTGTCTTAATATTCATCTTCTTTGCTGCAAGTAAACTCAATACATGTAGAGACAGACTGTCTTGTACTCCAGTGCCTACCAGTATATTTGATATACAGGAGCACAAAAAACATTTTCTGAATGATTGTATGATTACATGCATGCCGGACTAAAAAGGCAACAATACTTTTAACATTAAACTTAACATGTTTAACTTCTTTTTGTGTTTTCAAATCATTCGACAAAATTACATGAGAAAAATGAAATTTCTTGAAAGTTAAATCTGACTATATTAAATTATATTAAAAGTCTATCACATAAAATTCACTTCCACAGGATTTAACTGTAATAAAACAAGCATGTTAGATTAAATATACCCGTTTTAGAGATGAAAACAAAATTCAAGTGGCTTAAATCACGAATTTTTTTTTTTTTTTTTTTTTTAACAGAGTCTTGCTCTGTAGCCCAGGCTGGAGTGCGGTGGCGGGATCTTGGCTCACTGCAGCCTCTGCCTCCCGGGCCGCTGTCAAATGATGCTCCTGGTTAAGCAATTATCCTGCCTCAGCCTCCCGAGTAGCTGGGATTACAGGCGTGCACCACCATGCACAGCTAATTTTTGTATTTTTAGTAGAGACAGAATTTGACCATGTTGGAGGCTGGTCTTGAACTCCTGACCTCGTGATCCGCCCGCCTCTACCTCCCAAAGTGCTGAGATTACAGGCGTGAGCCACCGCGCCCGGCAATTCACCCATTTAATATAAAGAAAACAATTCCTAGAATTCGATTCTCTTGGCAGTATTTTTCCTGCATTCTAGCTATTTTCCATGCAGGGAAATTTTTATCTGAAACAAAGATTTCCCCAAAACAAAGATATCACAAAAACTGATGTAAATATAGCTAAGTCTTTTATTTCAAATAGTTTGAAGTTTTAATTATGTGCATTGGGCCTAAGCAGATTTTCAGGTTTTAAAAAAGATGTCAACCAAAGCAAGCCACTCAACTTTAAACTTTCACTTTATGACATCATACCCACTAGAGATTTCATTTTACATGCCGCTTTCCCCCAATTTTTAAATGCCCTCTGGATTTACAAACGTCGGATGACATACAGCGCCTACCCCATTTTTTCATAGCAGCCTACCAAGTAGATGAAGCCCTTCACTTAAAAGTAACGGCAGTGGGCGACCACTCCGTCACGTCTGAGGGTTTTTTGTTTTTCTTAAAGATCGATGCCCTTGCGCACGGGTCAGATGCTCTGGCTGGTTTTAGGGATCAATTACAGCCACGTTTGCAACACCTACATTTCTGGTAATGACGGTGCTAGAAAATAAAGAGACCGTCGTGGCTACTTACTCTACAAATGCCCTGGAGCAAAGGCACAGGATCCTACATTCCTCCTCCCGGTCTTCAAGGAAGAGAAACATTTCCGCCACGCGGCTCCACTTCCCGCAGCACATTTTACCACTTTGGAGGCAGCTCTGCCGTATGCAGCCCGGGTCGCGCCTCCCGGGCCTCGGCTGGGCTCCTGGAGACCTAAAGGAGGCCTCACCAGCAAGCCCGAGATGAGGAGTTAGAACTAGCCCCGGACGGCTCGCGCAGGGAGCTAGCCTGGACGCCGCCGCCGCCGCCGCCGCCGCCGCCGCCGCCGCCGCCGCCGCCGCCGCTGCCGGAAGTGGATCCGGGAGGCCACGGGAAGGGGCGGGACCACGGGCGGTGTCACCCACATCGCGGCCCGGGCTGTAGCCTCCGCTTGTCCTCTTCCACACGGGTTGTTTAGGAGGGATCCGCCGCGCAAATCTGTCCGCCCCTTCGGCCGCTGAGCCCCCGAAGAGCTCCTGTCGCCGCTCTAGGGTAAAGGAGAGCTGCCCCTGCCCCCGCCTATCCGAGGTGCGTCGGTCCTTGCGCTCCTTCAGCCCGGCGTCGGGGCTCGCGGGGTTGGGACAGGCGGAGGCCGCGCGCGTCCAGTCTCCCGGGAGCCGCCTCGGAATCCCGTCTCTGTGCAGCCAGGCTCGGTTTCCCGCCGGGCTCCGTCTTCCACCCGGGCGCCAGCGTGGCCGGGTCTGGAGATCCTTCCTCCTCTGGGTCAAACGAACCTGCTCTCCTCGCCCCTCTCCTCTCGCGCTCTGAAACCTTCAGTTCGGCGCGTTTCCTCCTAACGCTGCTGGTGGGGCGAGGCGTCTTCAACCTCACTAAAGGCCTCTAGGCTTGCCCGGTGGCTTTGCTGGTTCCGGGACCCACTTCGAGCCTCCGGTGTAAAAGCCGAGGGGAAGTGTGCGGTGATCCCGAAAATGTAGGGAGAAGGCCGTGTGGGTAGAGCGTTCGCATCCAGACCGATCAGGCTTGGAATTCTGGTCCTACCCGTGTGACCAGGGCAGGCTGCACCTTTCTGAGCCTCACTTTGATCATCTGTGAAATGGGGATGATAAATAGTAACTACTCCGTGAGCATGCAGGGAGGACTAAACGAAACAATGTATAGCACACCTTTTCTTTGTGCTGTTTATAGTTTGAGTCGGTTTGGACCTTGTAGGCGCCAAGCCCTGTCTCCGTCCCTGGGGTTTGCAGCCGGTAAAACAGGTCTCTGCCTTGAAGTTGCTAATTAATAAAAATACGTTCATGTGCACATAAATAGGATGGAGAAAATGGGAACAGCAGCACTGCTGGATCTGAGAAAAGCAATTGGTATTTGGCATGTGGTATTCATGGACGCTGCACGGGCAGGTTCTTCAAAGAGACAAGTTCAGACTTGAAAGTTGTAGCGGTTAGGACGTCGTTTGTGCTACGAAATGTCAAAATAGTATTGGTACTTCTTTAGAACTATATAAAAACTGAGCTAAAATTCAGAGATTTTGAATGGTCACTAGTACTTTGGCCACGTTTACTAGTTAGTTTTTCAAATGTTTATTCATACCTCCTTACTGCTGCCCTGCTGTGAGGTCAGAGATAGGCTGATTTTGGTGATTCAAGAAGGTAAGAGCGCTGCACAGTTACGGATATACCGGCATAGATGTGCAGCATTACTGGGATGAGTAGCTGGCTTACGATAATAAAGGTAGAACAGTAATTATGAAATAGAATGGAAGATTTTAGCTAGAAGTTGGGCATTCTAGGATTGAAAAAAAAGCCTTGAAGGGTAATTTGTGTCAGAACCTCGAGTTTAAAGCTTGAAATCAAAAAGGTATTAAAGCTAAAAGGATTAGCTTTACCAGCTATCTTGACAATATTAAACTGCAGCTTTATTCATGATTTGAATTAGAAGGCTTATTCAGTAAAACTGAGTGCTGCGCCCCTATTAAACCATTATTAAATATGAAGAAAGGAAACAGGAAAACTTGTATTTCCCAGACTATATCTTTTAGTTGGCATTTTCAGAATGTTCTCAATGTGGCTTATATACTAAAAGTAAAATGGAAAAGCCCTGGTAATAGGTGTTCAAAATAGATATACTTTCTTTCTTAAATTTATTATTACTATTTGAGACAGGGTCTTGCTCTGTCACCCAGGCTGGAGTGTAGTGGCGTGATCTTGGTTCACAGCAACCTCTACCTCCTGGGCTCAAGAAATCCTCCCACCTCAGCCTCCAGAGTAGCTGGGGCTACAGGCATGCCACCATGCCCAGCTAATTGTGTGTGTGTGTGTGTGTGTGCATATGTTGTGTAGAAACAAAGTTTTGCCCTGTTGCCCAGACTGGTCTTGAATCCTTGGGCTCAATTGATTTGCCTGCCTCAGCCTCCCAAAGTGTTAGGATTATAGGCATGAGCCACTGAGTCCAGCCTAAAATAGATATAGTTTTTTAAGGTTTTATTGAAAACCAAAAGTTCTCTGTTCTGATTTATTAGTTTTTGAAATACTCTAATTTTAAACGTCTATAAGGTCCGTCCATTATCCTCACCATCAGTGTCAATATGATGATATTTGAGCTTGTCAAGTTTCTTTTTTTTTTTTTTGAGACGGCGTTTCACTCTTGTTGCCCAGGCTGTAGTGCAGTGGCGTGATCTTGGCTCACTGCAACCTCTGCCTCCCAGGTTCAAGTGATTCTTCTGCCTCAGCCTCCGGAGTAGCTGAGATTACAGGCATGAGCCACAAACCCGACTAATTTTGAATTTTTAGTAGAGACAGGGTTTCTCCATGTTAGGCTGATCTTGAACTCCCGACCTCAGATAATCTGTCTGCCTCGGCCCCCTGAAGTGCTGGGATTACAGGCATGAGACACTGCTCCTGGCCTTCTCTACTTGTTTTTACAAAACTTACATGATTTCCAGATGGGGAAATTAAGATACTTCATATGTGATGCATAAGACTGTTTATTTTAGATTTGTAGAGGCAGGGGGCTATAGAAAATAACCTGGAATTTTGGTAACTGAAATACTATATTTCCCCCAAAATGCCTTCTAATACATATAATACATAAGGCTTATTTTTTCCCTCTGACACAGGGTCTTGCTCTATTCCCCAGGCTGGAGTACAGTGGTGTGATCATCATAGCTCACTGTAGCCTTAACTTCTCCGGCTCAAGCAGTCCTCCTGCCTTGGCTTCTCAAGTAGCTGCAACTACAGGACCGTGCCACCATACCTGGCGAAGTTTTAATTTTTTTGGTAGAGACAGTGTCTCCCTATGTTGTCCGCAGGCTAGCCTCAAGCTCCTGAACTCAAGCAGTCCTTCCTTCTGTCTTGGCCTCGAAACGTGTTGGGATTATGGGCATGAGCCACCGCACTCAGCCCATGTCATTTTTCTTGGGTTAAAATGGAGTGATAAGGAGTCAGTTACATCCCAAAATAAATTGAGGGGGGAAGAGAAGGGCCAGGCAAAAGTATAGGGTAGACAGAAATTGCAATCTTAATATTTTCAGTCTTTCTGTCGAGAGAAAAAGAGAGATATATCAAAGAAAGTGTAATGGAAAGCAGACTAGGAGGTAAGAGGACTAGATTTTAATTTTAGCTCTTGGCTTTTACTGAATTAATGTAGTAACTTTGAACAAATCAACTTGGCTTTCTGTGTTTAGTTTTTTTGTTATCTGTACAATTAAGGAGTTGCATTCATTGAGATTTAAAGATACTTTGTCATACTGTCAAAAGTAAGTGCTGTATTTTATCCACTGAAAAGCATTTTATTCAAATTCCTGTGATAGTTCTCTAGTATCAGGGTTTTTTTTTTTTTTTTTTTTTTTTTTTGAGACGGAGTTTCGCTCTTGTT